GGGCCCACTGGCTGCCAAGATGTGGATGGATCCCGTGAGGAGCCTGTCCAAGCACAGGAAACACACGCTTGGGAACCAGGGCCTGACCAGATGGAGGCCCCCTGTATCCCTAAAGAGAAGCAGCTTGTCTCGTGATGGTAAGCACTTTAAAACCAAGCTAGGATTTTGCCCCATCAGGCCACCCAGGTTCATAGAACCACAGACTTTCAGATTTGGAGAAGGACTCACTCCTCCAGCCTCCCCAAAGACACGGACTTTTAAAAATAACCTTTTGCAGGAAGAAGTTGTGTCTCCTATCACTGGGGTATCTGGAAGTGGTATATGAATACATGTTATTATTCTGATACAGTCTGGGGAAACTCTGTAGGCATATGTTAAAAAGGCAATATATATTCAAAAGAATTTTGAATTAGGAATCAGAAGGCCCTAGTACTAGCCTTGGCTCAAGTACTTAGAAGCCACGTGAACTTGAGAAAGCCATTTAACCTACGTGAGCTTCAGTTCTGCGTTTAATATATAACATGCTATTTCCCAGAGTTACTATAAAGATCAAATTAAATAAAATAATGAATGTGAATGAATTTCATAAACTAAAGGGACTTAATACAAATAAAAGGTATTAGTAGTAGTAGTAGTATTTTCATATAACTAGTTTATAATCAAACAGGAATCATTTGAATGCTAACACAAAAATGCAAAGCATGCATATGATCTTCATCTTCCCTCTCTTGAAAGGTGGATATCTACATGATACAGACAATGCTAGATTAATCAGGGGCTGATTATCAAGGGGGCCTTTTACTTCTAGTCATTATACCCTTTATTCGTTCCTCACGGGGATGCCACATCAACCTACATACAGCTAGAAAATTGGCAGTGAGCATACATCAACTAGATTACCTGAATAACAACTCTGGTCAAAAAGTTTTAGCAAAGAAACAGTTGAAATGATTAACTAGGTGGGAGCTTTTGAATAATGTGTTGACTTTATCCATGGATAATTAAGACTGATGGAATTCTCATTTGGGGCTAATCCAGACAAAATACTAATATTTTCTCAGTGAGCAACAAAGTAGCCTATACTTGTGCAATAAGATTTGAATATTAGTCATCCGTTCATTTTCAACAAGTACTGGGGTGCCAGAGCTCACCACAAGCCTTGAACTCACTATTTTCCTGCACTTGTTGCTCCTTCCTTACAATATCATATAGAGCTCCTTGGCACCTGACTCTTTGAAGCGCTCTTCACCTTCCTGTTATCATGAGACTTTGGCTAATCTTATTCTAGCACAAGCAGCAAGCTATGCTCCTGGGCCAAACCCTGCCCACTGTCTTTTTTGTAATAAAGTTTTGTTGGAACACAGCCACATTCATGTTTTTGTATTATCCATGGCTATCTTGCTGCTACAATTTCAGAGTCCTGTAGTTGTGATACAGACAGTATGGCCCAAAAAACCTAAAATACCATCTGGCCCTTTACAGAAAAGGTTTGCCGACCTCTGCCCTAGATAGTATGATTAAATCAAAATTCTTCTCTCACATAAGTTTCTGTCAGAAACTAACAGAGTGAGCTCCTTGAAAGCAGAGAACCTTTCTGTATCTTTGTCTTGTCATATAGAGACCTGGAGTAGGCAGAGTCAAGGTTGAGAGCAGATACAGAAAATTAAACATGTCCTTCCCTGCATTTTATTTTCAACAGATGAGTGCCTTGGAATTCCATGGAAGACAGCATAAAACCAATAAAACACCAGTGTTGGGTTACTCTGGTTTCTAATTCCTCAGAGTTCCTACGTCTAAGACTTCCAAGGCTCAATTTTTGGCCTCCATCCCTTTGCATATTTATTTCCTGATCTGATGTGGAATTAGAGTTAAATAGGAGCTGTGTGCTTGAATTCCACGTGGCTGGCTCAGCAGGAAACTCCAGGGCAGGTTTTTTGGCATGCCAAACTCATGTTAGCTTCAGCTATGCTAATTTCTAAAGCTGTTTGGTTTGCTCAAATAAATCTTAGAGACAATTTTGCATTTGGATGCACACCTTTCTGTGCACAAATTATGTGCATGATAGCTCTGGGGCAGGATGAGGACTGAAAAGAAAAAGAGGTATGGTGTTCACTAAGTGTGTGGCAGGCACTGGGCTAAGGGCTTTGCAGACATTTTCTCATCTCAGCTCCACAACCATCCCATGAGGTTGGCCTGGGATCCCCACTTTACTGATGGGAAAACTGGAGGGCAGAGAGCTTATGTAATTTGTCCACGTTCACAGAGCTAGTAAGTGGCAAAACCTAGGTGCAACCCCAATCACTCTGAATCTAAACCCCATGCACTTGTCACATAGTCATACTGCCTTATGGATACCCTTGTCACCATCTCCCCTCACCTAAGCCACTGGGCATACATTCAGACATGAACTCTACACTTTCACAGTCTCCCCTCTTTTCCTTAGTTGGGCTATGTAAAATATGTCTTTGGTCCTTGTGGGATAAATTTGGATCCCTCTGTATCACAAAACAATCAACCAAAGTAGAAAGGGGCATTAATAGGGCAAACTACATATGACACACCAATTGCACTACTAATTAGTAGACAAACACAATTATAAGTGACTTGGACAGGTAAATGGATTTTGCTGACATATCTAAAGACCTCAGTATGAAAGGACACTTTCACTGCTAGAATGTAGTAGACCAAGCATGGGAATATGACTATGTCATGAAGGAAAATGTGAGTGACACTTAGAATACAGTGTAACTATATCTGTAATCTAAACCCAGGAACTTTCGTCTACAAATTTCTTCACTGTTTATGGAAAGATAACCAAACACCTATCTTCCTTAATAAAAACACAGGCATTATTAGCTCTAGTACATTACAGTAAGCACTGCTGTTGCAACTCTGTATTTATCATTGCTCAAATCAATACACAGAAAAATAACCAATGTCACAATTAAGCATCCTAGCATTATTCCAACATTTTACAGTGAACCAGATACAGCATTATTTAACTTCTTCCACTGTGTGAACTCTATCTGCAGCCTAGTTTGCTATATCACACAATGCTCAGCCATTGCCTTTGGATCCATACACTGCCATCTAATTTTCTGGAAATATAAAAGAACTGATTATATTTTCAAGCAAATGAAATTCAGATCTCCATTTAAAAAATTTGGAGGAAGAACAAGTCTTTCTACAAAACTATCCCTTTCTTCAGAAAACCCAGAGGAGACCTTGACCTCCGATGCACCACCCCATTCAACCACGGTTACTTTTTCTCTAGGAAACCAGTCACTACAGATCTCTTGTTTTTTTAAATTATGTTATTCTCTTAAAAATTTTAAACAGTTGACTTTAGAGAAGCAAAGTAACTTTTTTTGTAGCCAGTGATAGAAAAAGTTTATTATCAATTGAAAGTTTATAGCCTCAGCAGTCGTAGATAGGGGAATTTTCCTGCTATAGTAACAATACTCTAAATAATGCATGCATTCACATTTCTTACCTACAGAGTTCCTAAAATAGTCTCAACCAAAGTTAACTTGAACATGTAATAACTACTCATAACATAGTTAAAACAACCTTCTGTGAACCGTTATCACTCAAACCCCAGTAGTGACTTACTTACCTGCTGGTGGCTTTATGAAAGGTGGCGGAATTAAAGGTACAATAATGGGCACATTGCCATGGTCCTTTGACCCTGCAGGTGAATCACTGAGTCCATTTCCAGTGGCAAGCCCTGAATAGCCTGTGCTTATATTGTATGGTGAAATAACACTGTCCTCGGGTAATTTTGGTTTTGGCAAAGAATTTTCTGTTAAAAAAAAAAATTATACTCAGTATGACAAAAGACCTATTCAGCAGACTTAAAGTATTTTTTATTTTCTCAAGTAGAATGATCATGTAACAAAACACTTTTTTTTTCCCTTGCAAATCTTTAAACAGTTTACCAGAACTCCACAGTCCATCTAGGACCTTTTTAGTTATGTCACCATAAATTTCCAATGGGATCCTTAATAATTTGCTCCACTATGATAGCTAATATCCCAGCTGATCGTGGTGATGAAATTTAGCACTATAAAATCCCACAGAAAATTTAGAGGCAATTAACCTTTTCCACGTACAAAGAGATATACAGCAAGTATTGCTCTCTGGCTACCAGGGAAAGCCTAAAACGCGTCCCCAGCATTGTAACCAGATCCCACTGTATTGTAAACTTGAACTATAATATAATCAAATGAACCAGTGAGAAAGAAGCAGATGATGGGGAAGAAAACTTCCTCCCTAGGTACTGATAATATCTACTAAAAAGTAACAAAAATTCAGTCAGGTGTGGTGGCTCATGCCTATAATCCCAGCACTTTGGGAGGCCGAAGCAGGAGGATTGCTTGAGTCCAGGAGTTGGAGACCAGACAGGGCAACATAGCGAGACCTTGTCCTTACAAAATATCAAAAAATATTGGCAGAGCATGGTGGCACATGCTTGTAGTACCAGCTACTTAGGAGGCTGAGACAGAAGGATCTCCTGATCCCAGGAAGTTGAGGCTGTAGTGAGCTGTGAGGGTGCCACCACACTCTATCCTGAAGTGAGACTCCAGCTCAAAAAAAAAAAAAATTAAAAGAAAAAAAACCTTAATGATATGAGCCTTGTGCATTGTATCCTTGTATGTGAATCATTAAAAAAAAAAAAGCCCAGGTTCAGTGGCTCAGCCTGTAATCCCAGCATTTTGGGAGGCCAAGGCAAGTGGATTGCCGGTGTACACAGGTTTGAGACCAGCCCGGGCAACTTGGTGAGACCTCGTCTCCACAACAAATAAAAAATTAGCTGGGCGAGGTAGCACACGCCTGTAGATCTGGCTGCTTGGAAGACTGAGGCAGAAAGATTGCTGGCGCCCAGCAGGTTGATGCTTGGAGTAGCCATGAGTATGCCACTGCACTCCAGCCTGGGTTTATGGCGTGAGACTCCAACTAAAAAAAATTAAAAATAAAAATAAAAACCCACACATGCAAACAAAAAACCTCAACCATAGAAAATAACTTTTTTTCCCCCTCTAGTAGCATCTCCTGGCACTCTCTCTTTCTATGTCCCCCAGAGGCAAAGATTATTACCTAGGCCAAGCATTATACAAGCTATTAGTTTACAGAATATAAACTCATGACTTGCATTTTTCATTTACAGTGAAATTGATGATACTATCTCCGTAACATGATGTGCACAATTTCATAGCAAGCTTAACATAAAATTTGTCATGTACATTCTATTTCACATGCCTGCAGGACAGCTCATTTACATTTCCACGTTCAGCATAAAGGAAGGGAAAGTACTATCTTAAAGAGTGAAAATAAAACGTTTGAACAGGTACTGGATGCCGGTAGATTTTGAATGCAATGCAAATACTGATCAAATTGCCAATAATGATACACAATTTGTTTCATCCACATTTTAATAAAGTTCCCCAAATAAAATGCTTCTTCACATACTTTTCTTTGACAGGCAAACTCTCATTCTAAATTTAGGTTCGTAAATTCAGTATCTGTCACTGCAACTCACCACAGAATCGGTATTAATTCAGTTCTGCCAAGCCTCTGTAATTTTCACTCTTTAGCTGGACTTTGATCCATGTTCCTTATAGAATAATATAGGATCTAATCATCTACTATTCCTTTATTCCTTCTTATTCTATTTAGGATGTAAGGGCAGGCAAAGAGTGAACACTTCCAACACAAAACAAAAATGGGGCTTCCATTTAGAATTCCCATCCCAAAAAAAAGAAGGAGGATGACCAAGCTACCAGCAAATCTCTCTTGCAGTCTGAATACCTAAACCCAACATTTCACTTAACAAAAAGTCCTGGTCCCCAACAATTGATGATGTATCAAAGAGATCGGGAAACTAGAAGAAGTCAGCAAACACCGCTCCTTTCATTAAATTTGTATGCAAGGCCACAGCACTTAAGGTCCCTAGCCCTTGCCTGGTTCTCCCACTGCTAGAAGGAGATTAAGCTGTGTCTATTTTTGTTTTACATTGTGCTCTTATATCCTGTGGAATTCTGCTTATGGGAAAGTCCTACTGGGGATGTACGTTTAAATCAAACATTGGCATAATCAACAAAAAAATGAGTCCCAAAGTCACTAAATTCTGGCAGGTTGAGATAGTTAATCCTTCTTTGCATGAACAAAGGGACATTAAATGTCATTACCTTTGAGAACAGAAATGTGCTGCCGGTTCTCCCCATCTGTAGAGTAGCTCCTGAATTCAATATCTTCACCATCTTTTAATTCAACCTTATCATAGCCATACCAGCCAAGGAGTTCATTCATGGTGTTTTCCGCAAAGTTCTGAAAAAGAAGCAAAGGTTACTACCTATTTCTATAATCAATAACGACTTGAAAAGAATGCATAAATTGAATACTGTTTGCTCTACCCCATGTCTTGCCAGCTCTGTCCCACTTCCCTAGATTAGTGTTCATTTTCCAAATCATATGCAAGAATCGTAATACTTTCAAATCTTAGGATGACACATTTCATTAGGACAGGCCTTCAGACATTTGTAATTTAAAATAAGAAAAAAAAGTATTTGTTAGTTTTGCTTATGAATAGGATTTCATATTTTAGCATATTCTTCCACAAAGTTTATATTATCTCGCACTAATACAAAAATATTGAAAGGCAAATCATAAAAACAGCTAAGAAAAGATTTTGAACATGAAAACAATTAGTCAACCTCTTGTGATTCAGATCAATTTAAATTAAAATTTCTTCTAATCCAAGTTTTGCTTCTTAACATGACATATCTCAGAAAAAGCAAAATCTCAACAAATAAAAACTTCTCAATTGTCAACCACTACCTTACAAAAAGCTAAGTAGGTTACAAGGGTCTCCCTTTTTAATTTTTCCTTTTGCAAGTATTTTTTAAAATCAATGCATAATTTGCGTTATAAATTTCACTAGTGACAGGTTCTCTCTTAATGAAATCAAAGGTTACTTCGTCTTCTGACAAGTACCAAATAACTTCAAGGTTATTAGTCAGCCCAGATTTTGGATAATGTGTGAAATCACTTTATGAGCTATAAATCCATATTTACATGTAAAGTATTCTTATTGTTGTTATGAATATCAAACTTTGAAAATAATGAGTACAGTTGGACAGATTTAATATCTTAAATCAGGTGACTGTTTAATTTATCAATTGCTAGATCTGAAAACAAGATGTGAGACTATGTGTGTTAATGATCTTAATGCTCATGTGTTTTCTGACTGGCAGGGCACTGTGGGCTTCCTAGACTGAGCTAGAAAAACTATATATTCTAACCTTCTTCGTGGCTCAAAGAAGGCTTTATTATTCTCTTTAGAAGCAATCATTTCTGAATTACACTGGGATATATAATTTATACACCTGAAACAAAGCACCAAGGCTAAGCCAGAGTGTGCATAGCCTCAACATGTGAGTTCCATGTTTTCTTGGATTTCACGACTTTAGATTTCAGCAGGGGTTGCATAAAAAATAAAAGATAATACACTACTGACTCCACAAAAGCAAACCTGGCATTTTGAGCTACACACAGGATGCTAGCTTTTTTGCCTTAGTACTCAGTTAAACTCTAACCTCCAACTGGGTCAATCTGTGATGGTATATTGTACCAGCAATTAAAAAAAAAAATCTAGCCAGACTGATTCAGTGTTACCATCCACAAGGCCAACAGTCAACCATATCAAGCTTTAGTGAGGCATTTATTCTCTCTGATGGCTGGTCATGTCCACATTAAATAGACATTCTTTTCATGAATGCACAAAGATGATATGATCGATATGAATAATAAGCTCAGCAACTTCAGGAATACCACTGAGGAGGGCAGGGCTGAGTGCTGCTCTTACCAATCAAAACAGATCCCTTTAATGAGGCGTCAGTCTCCCCTAACACCTAATTTCTTTCACTGAGCTAACTGCCTGACTGAAAATGACAGTCCCTAGGCATACACATGGGGTCCTCCATCAGTGGTCTGGCAGCAGAAATCTACCAGGATAAGGCTTAAAACCCCAATTCCCAAGTGGAGCATCAAAAGCCACATTCAAGCCTTCCTATTGGTCTGTGTGCTGTTTGCCCCAATTTCTTAAGAGACCTGTGCCAACAAGACAGAATCTTTTGCATAGGAACTACAGGCTACCATATCCAGGTTTGTAGACCGTTTACATCTGGGTGCCAGTTTTCCCAGGTTCTTTCTAACCTCTGAAGTCACACAAAGGCTACAGATGCATAATTCATGGAGCAACCTCCTAGCCAAGGTTATAGATTTGTTTTAGACCAGTTGCAAATTCATTCAGGCTTTCAGTACCAATCCTAGGTCTGGGATCCAGAAGTTTCAGACATTTGGGTTAAAAACTGAACCCTCAACTGGATAATTAACACCAAATTCAAATTATTTGGGTACCTGAACTGCACCAGTTTAGTTTATGGTTTCTGTGAGGCTTCATGGAGCAATCAATACAAACTCGATCCATTCCATGATTTTCGAGTTACTATAAATGTCAGGGAAAATAAACTCTAAAACATTTCCTTTCTTGTCATGGAAAATAAAAATAAACCCCTTAATGTTTTGATATATGGCTGCAAAAGCAGGAAACAAAAGGTTTATAAAGCCCCAAGCCATAAATCTCAAATCTTTCATGAAAGGAGGAGCAAGATGAAAGAAAGAAAGAAAAGGGAACACCAAAGTTTTTGCTAGTATACCTACAACAAACAGACTATCACCTCTGTCGTTTACACTGTTAGATTAAGAAACCTAAGAATCCCAAGAAATAAATAATTTATAATGTTTGATTTTGGCCCTTGCCTTGCTGACTCTGGTGTGGCCATGTGCTCTCTGAGCTATGGCTGTCCCCATGCTTCCTGGCTTTGGTCCCCTCCCCCACCTTGGGGAGGTGAATCTTCTCTTTCTCTCTCTAACTTACTTTTAAATAAACTGTATTTTCTAATCTAAAAAATAAAATAAAATGTTTAATTTTTAGGTTAAATGTGATAATAGACATCATATGGTTTCATTACAGTGCTAAACCAAAATAAATAATATAGATTTTTGCAGCTATCATCCAAGACACATAATATATCTAAGAGAAATTAATATAATGTTTATGGCCTATAAAGGTTTTAAAGTCTTTCTAGTAGAGAATTTCAATGGTTATTTTTCATCTTTTTTTGTATTATTTTCTTCTAAAAAAAGAAATTTATATTGAGCTATTCCCTTCATACATAGTTTGTATTTTTTAAAAGGGACTAAGAATTCAAATGTGAACTAATTTTTGAGACGAGGACATTTTGATAATAAAATAAGCTACTGCACTAGGGAAAATTTGTTTTCCCCAAAATCTTCACCCAACATTTCTCCTGGAAATTTAGGAGAAATATCTTAGAATCTCTTAAAAGCCCCTCCCAGTTTTAGGATTCTTTGAAATCAAATAACTTCATTTATATAAGAAATAAAATACCTCTTGCAAAGATATTTCATAATTATAGTGATCACACATCATGAATTTTACTGAGTCACTATTTCAAATATTTTATCATTGCTCCCATAAACCATCAAAATGTGCCAGAGATTTCAATATTTTGGCATCTGTTCTACATTTTTCAGACTGCCTCTTGCCCTTGGAAGTAATACAAAAATCCTCTCTCATACCATGTGGTCCAATTTGGGTTTGGAAAATAGGTCGCCATAATTATAATGATAATGTCTAATACTCTTATAGCACTTTACGGTATTTCCACAACTTTTGATTCTCTTGTTCCTTTCAATAACCCTCTGTATTAGGTATTTGATTTCCACAATAAACTTTGGTGAACCTAGGTGACATCCTCATTTTACAACAGAAAATTAGAGCATCAAGAAGGTAAAAGATAGGCATGAGAGATCACCCAGGAAGGTCAGAACTGAAATACAGATCTTCTGATCCTTATACCAAGTCTCTTTTCATTGTAAATTCTGTGCAGCCCAACGTGTCTGCAATTCCAAAGAATCTACCTCTCTGGACCAAAGTTGCAAAAAGATCGTACTACAGGTTGTCAATACCATATATAAAGAGGTTTCCAACCAGGGCATCTCTACCTATGATGAGACTGCTTGCTTTCAGATGTGATTATTGATCTCTACTCTTCTTAATTACTTGTACTGTTGGAAAGGGGGTGCTCAAAATTCACAAGTAAAATGGAATCTTCCCTTTTTACCATTTTTAACACTACATCTGACGCTAATTGTCTTGTACTTCTGATACAGTGCCTAATTTCCTACCACTTCCTTTCTCTCTCTAATATCTCTCTCCCACCTCCAGGGATTCTGAGCAAAAAAGACAATCCGAACTTCTAATCTGAAAGCATCTCTTCCTAGAATTAAAAAATAAGTAAAAATTAAAAGGTCACAGAAAGATGGGTTTTGGCAAGGAAATTTTACTATTTTCTCTCTCCTCTTGAGTTATTTCTATATCAGCAAAATAATATTTGTTGGAGCTTATTTCCTAGGACATTCATTAAACTCCCTCCTTATTCAATTGGAAGTATTAGACAAATGTCAAAGTTCAATCTAAATGATTTTTGATGGAACATTTTTACCATGTAACTAATAAAGAGTTGACTTCGAAAAACTTTGAAAATAGCAGTCATTACAAATTCTCCAAATGCTTCTGAAACACAAATGCTTCAAGGTCTTCCAAAAGGACTGATGATTTTACTTATTTTAAAAACACTAAACAGATTTTAAAACATAGATAGGTACCACTAATTTTTTCATACCAGGCCTTGCATAACTGAATGTCTATGTGTTTTCAAATTTGTATTCTACCCAAGAGAGCAAGAAGTATTCAAAGAGCTCCCAACCATTAACCCAAAGCAGGAGACAGTCACCCCTTCTTCCTCTCCACAAATATAATTCCCATTTTCTCTCCAAGCCCCAGCTCTGGTTAAAAATGTCATCTTTTCCAAATGCACTGTAAGTTATTTGAGGGCAGAAATCTTTTTATTTCATTTTATGCCTTACCTAACATAATGCCTGGCACTTAGAATGCACTCAATAAATGTGCTAGTATATTTTGGTATATTCACAATTTTTTTAAAAAGTATAACTACACTGAAATGGTGAAGGAAAAATCAGGAAAACCTGATTCTAAAAATAAATATGTAAAAGTCTTAAAATTATATGTAATGTTAGTAAGCACTGTCATACTACAGGGAATTTAAACTGATGCAATTTTTAGAAAGAGTAAATTCACTCTATTCATTAAAAACCTTAAATTTTTACAAAGTTTTTGACTCGGCAATTTGATTTCTAGGGATTGTAGGAATTAGTGTATG